AGATGGGATTCACCGTACATCCTGTGAATTTTATGTCTTTTTTGTCAATTCTAGAAAATTCTTAAATACTCCTCTTCAAAGTATTGCCTCTTCTCAATTTCTCTGGAAATCCTATGAAATATATAGTCTGGAATCTTCTCATTTTCTTCTCCATGTCTTTTAATTTCTACATCATGCACCTTTATCTTGCAATGTCATTCTCTAATTATTCAGATTTACCTTTCAACTTATTTATTTTCTCTTAAGGTAGGTCTAACCAACTATCTAACTTAGTCATTTGAGTTTTAAAATTTAAGAACTATATTCTTCATTTATAGAAATTCTAATTAGTTGGTTTCCAAATTTGCCCAGATTTTTGGGGGGAGGGAGTCTTATTCTTTTTCATGTTTTCAAGTTACTGGGTTATTTTATGGTTTCTAATATTACTATTATCCACTTAAATTCACTGGGTTACTTTATGGTCTAACATTACTATTAACCAAAGTTATTAGAGGTCTAATTCTGGTATTTATTCTATCTGCTTATTTCTCACTTATGGTGCTTTATAACTTTTGATGGCAAGGTCCTGTTGAGAACAGCAGGATTTTATCTAGGAGAATTCTATAGGGGTTGGGTTGAAGTTATATCCCTCCATAAAGGTTTTACATTTGCTTCTATCTGGTGCTCCAGGGGTATTACCACCCTCAAAGAACTTTTGTTTTTAATGGAAATTTTTAAACACATACAAAAGTAAAATGAATGGCATAATGAACTGCAATCTATATATTACCTAACTTCAACAATAATCAACACACAGCTAATCTTGTTTCATCTACATCTCCACTCACTATCCACCTTTTTTCAACTGAATTATTTTAAACGAAATACCAGATAGCATATCATTTCACTTCATTTCTTTTAAAAGGATTCTTAAAAATAATAATTCAAAACTAGTAACTGTTTTGTATCAACAATATTCAGTCTGTGGTCAAATTACCCTGTCTCTCTAATTTGTTTAAACTGAGAAAGGGAGAAATGGTTAGTTTGAAGAAGGATCCAAACAAGTCTAGACCTACTTTTTTTTTTTTTTTTAAGTAATCTCTACACCCAACGTGAGGTTGGAACTCATGACCCAACCAAGAGTCTCATGTTCTATAAACTGAACCAGCCAGGCACTCCTGGATCTACTTTTTAAGTTAATTTCTCAGCTTAAGGTTCCTAGATCAAGATGGTAGTATAAATTCAAACTCTAAGCACTTGTGAGGGCAGGCCCAAGCTTCTAGATTTTTAGGAGATTCCACCCACCGCCCCGCCACACACACACACACTCCCCCTACCCCCAAGACCAGGACAGACAAAATTTTCCTTAACACTTCCTGGTGCCAAGAGGATTTTTTTTTTTTTCTAGATTTTCTCTTCACTGAAGGTATAGCCCTTCAAGAGCCCCTGGCTTTACACAGGGGTCTCAGTTCCAAGTTTTTACCTATTATAGACAGGCCTCCTTCCCAGCATTTGAGCAGCAATTAAAATGTAAGTCCCTAATGTTTTATACCCTGCTTTACGTGGTGGATACATGAGCTTATACAACCACCAAAATCTACTGAGCACTTAAGATCTGCATATTTTATTGTATGTAAATCATGTATCAAATAAAAATAAAGATCAGTTATATTTGCATGAAAATCAGCAAATCTACCCCCCTCCTACCCAGAATATCAGTAACAATTCTTCTTAGTACACAGGTTTTCAATTTTTTCTTTGTTTTTGCTCCTGGGATGCTCCTTACTTTGTTGCATTCAAAACTATAATGTATTTCAAGGGATTTTTATATTTTCTCCTGACTCTTGAGTATTTTGTAGTGCGAGGGTTGCCAAATTCTCTAGACTCATTGTTCTCAACCAAGGGAGATTTTACCCCCTAGAGGACATTTGGCAATGTCTGGAGACATTTTTGGTTGTAACTCGTAGAGTAGTGGGTAAAGTCCAGAGATGCTGCTAAACATTCCATAATGAACTGGACAGTCTCCCACAACAAAGAATTATTTGGACCAAAATTTCAATAGTGCCAAGACTGGGAAACCTTGATCTAGATCACCTTAATTGTAGGAATGTTTGGCTTTCACCTTTGCCTTTCACAATGACATAGTATAGTCTTTAGCTATCACTCACCATGAAAACATCTTGCCTGAAAACTTACTCTAAAATTTCCCAAATAAGACATTTTTTAAAATGAAATGTGGGAAAAAGAGGGGATCCTGGCATATGTGTCTTCATCTTTTCCACTCTTACAGTACTAACAGATAAAAACTGTTAAATTACCATGTCAAAATTAATCACAGAACAAATGGAAGGACTTCAGAGTTAAAATTAAGAACCTTAGAAATCATCACTTAACAATGAGAAATATATTTGACAGATTATACCTAGTACACGTATTTGACAGATTATAACTTTACATTCCAATCCAATGTTCGCCAGTAAATTATTGCCCCAAATGCTCTGGCTAAGCAGTAAGAAGTCAAGCTGGATGCCCTTCGGTGGCAATTTAAGGACACTATCTTAAGCTAAATATCCCACTGAAAGTGCAGCTTCAGTTCTCTTTGACTATCTAAAACTGCTTAATATGCTTCTGCCTCAATATTAATGATAGAGCATTTATGGTTTTACTACACTGAGGGGCAAGACAGGCAGGACTTGAGCTTCAAAATGTGGGAAAGTCTAGTGATCTTATTTTATTATTATTATTTAATATTGCAGGCATATAAAGAGGTACAGAGAATAACATAATAAACACCTTTTTTTTTTTTTTTTTACTAAACAGCTGAAGAAATAAAGCTCATAGATATGACAGAAGCCACCTATGTAACTCTGACCCCATCCCCTTCTCTCCCCAGAGGTGACCACTCTCCCGAATTAGGTGCTTATTACTCCCATGCTCGTTACTATTTTCACAGGACATATACAATCCATAAACTATATATGAAATGGTATCAAACATATTTTCTACAACTTCCTTTTTGCTACTGATAATTTCCTTCTTTTAATAGCTACAGGAATCAAGGGAAGGAGTATATGAAATTGCTGAATGTGTTCAGCTTCTGTCTCCAAAGAGAAACCCTCTGATTAGGTTGAATTTGTCCTTAAATATACCTGTCTATAGTGCTGTGTGCCCTTTTCTGCTACATGCTAATGAATCTGGAAAATTAAATTCACACCCTTACACCCAGAGACAGGAATACTCACCAAAACCCAGTTCTACCATATAGAATCCACTGGTCTAAGGAGTTTTCACTTCTATTAAAGTGTGGTAATAGAATATGGGTAGTGAATTCACTGCAACTGTTCATATACAGAATTCACTATGTCCACCTATTGTGGGCTTTTTGTTTTTTTAAAAATTTTACTTAGGGGTGCCTAAGATGGTTAAGCGTCTGCCTATGGCTCAGGTCATGATCCCAGGGTCCTGAGATCGAGCCCCACATTGAGCTCCTGGCTCAGCGGGGAGCCTGCTTCTCCCTCTCCCTCTGCCTCTCTCCCTGCTCATACTCTCTCTCTCTCTGTGTCTCAAATGAATAAATAAAATCTTTTTAAAAAATTTATCTGTTTATTTGAGAGAGAGAGAGAGATTAAGAAAATGAGTGGGAGGAGGGGCAGAGGGAGAAGAAGACTCCCTGTTGAGCAGGGAGCCCGATGTGGGGCTCAGTCCCAGGACTCTGGGATCATGATCTGAGCCAAAGACAGATGCTTAACCGACTGAGCCACCCAGATGCCCCCACCCTATTGTGTTTTTTAAGGAATATTAATAGCAATAACAGATACCAGATTTCACCAATCTATTTTCAGATATAAAACATAAGGAGTCTGCTAAGGCAGACCACTGAAAACACAGAAGCCTTTATTTATAGGTGAGTGAAAGAAAAGAAAGCCTAGATAATTTTATCCCTTCCATTTCAGGAGGTGAGTAGAAGGACTGAGAGAGATAAGAGTAAAAACATTAGCTGGGTTTTAATAGTTCTTCTAAGGATTCAAAGAGGCTGGGCTGAGAATGATACCTTACAGTCAGATTTAGACCATGACACTCAGTTCCCCTAAGGGAGACAGCTGACATGATTATTGCTCTCTTTCCAGGCAAGTTCAGCAGCTGTTACTGAGAAGACAGACACTCAGTACCCTAGAGATTCATGGAGGGATGGATTCACGGACAGAGAGTACTTCAAAGTACATTGCTGATTAGGCCTAACAATAGCTTGGTCAGGGAAAATTGTGAACACCCTAAAATATCACCAAAGAGAAAAAGAAAATAGGCTTGGGTGATATTTAGGACAATGTACAGCTCAAGTCCAGAGAGCCTTTTATCCTTGAGAAAAGTTATCCTTCCTTTTTAAGTTATCCTTCCTTGGCCTCACATCCCTGGAGCACCAGGACTCAGACTGACTGTTAATCACACTACTTCCCACTTCTGGCCTGCAGCTACAATCCCTGAGTGGAGTAGGACCCAAGAAAGAACAAAAGAGGAAGAAAGGAAGATGTCATGTATAGAAGTATGTCTAAAAGGTTGTAAAATGCAATCAAAACATAATGTTTTCTGTGTTTCTTACCTAGTTAACATGGTGATCGATGATGTTATACAGAATTAAAATCAAAAGGCTTTGCAATGACAATAGTGAGTAGCCAGGGAGATTAAAAAATTTCAGGCAAGATGTTTTTATCATGAGTGACAGCTAGACATGAAGGTGAAGGTGGCATCCCAATATAGCTGCAGTGGACATTTGAGTTTAATGCTGTAAGGTAGCCTAGAACATTATAAATGCACCTAGTTCGGGCACTAAGGGCCAGAATGCAGCAAGGCCTGATGCCAGAACTGCAAAGGGAACTCAACAGCTTGCTGGGAAAGAGAGGACACACAAAGATTCAGTGGGCACTCAGACTCTGCAAGTGTGCTTATAAATCACCAAGTCAGAACCACCTCCTAGGATCACCTAGGTCATGACCATATTTGAAATCCTCATAGCTTTTCCTTACCTCAGTATATCACTGACAGTAATTTCAGGGATAAACTTTTGAAGGTGCTTCACTGTTGCACTGAGAAAACAGGCTTTATACATTTCGTTAACTCCATAGGAAAAATTCTGGAACACCAATTTAATCAAGCCACTGAAAGCAAAAAAAAAAGAAAATCTTTATGAGAGAAAGCAATTCTTTATTACTACAAAACATCTTTACAACTATGAGATTTGGGGGGGTGGCATCACAGAAATATAGGCAAAATCAGAAAAAAAAACACATATTAAAAGAAAATCAACTTTTGGTCAATATAAGAAGGAAACTTCATCAAAGGAATGAATACCTTCCAAACTTAAATTCCCAGGGAATGCTGGTTTCAAATTGGAATTCTATAAAGCCTGCCAAAAGCAAGGTTTTCTAATGCAAATGTTATACGCTTTCAAAACCATACCTAAAAGGCATTAACAGACCTTTAAATCAGAGCCATTAAGCAAATGGGAGTATCTACTCTATTTTTCTTTAGTCAGCCAGAGGTAAGATACTCCAGATCCTCAAGTGAGACTCTACGGAGCCTGTGTGTACATATATATGCTTTTATAAGCACACATGCTAGGAAGCCCCATCCTAAAATTTCTGTTTCAGAATCAGTAAGGGTGAAACTCGAGTACAGCTTGACAAGCTTTCTAGTGATTTTGATGTGAAACCCTCTACAGCGCAACACTATTAAAAGGACCAAACAAAATACCTCACTGAGTTATTCTTTACAATAATAAATAATCTGCCATCTAGGTTAACACAATTTATTGTTAGTTTTCCACGAAAGGAAACAACTTTGTTTATCAGCAATTTCTCCAGTGCTTTTCAAAATAATGGTGACTGGCTTGAAATGATCTTATCAATGTAAGGCATCTACTAATTTTGAAAGAACTTTTTTTTTTCCAAACTCAACTAGATTAGCCAAACAAGATTTGGATTGTCAGATAAGTGTTTGGCTCTTGGTCTTGTTCTTTTTGACCAAGACACTACCCCGGCTCATCAGAATTTTCTTTTTTCTTTCTTTTTTTTTTTTTTTAAGATTTTATTTATTTATTTGACAGAGAGATAGAGAGAGCCAGAGAGCACTAGCCGAGGGAATGGCAGAGGGAGAGGAAGAAGCACCCTCCCCAGTGAGCAGGGAACCCAGTGCAGGCTCGATCCCAGCCCCTGGGATCATGACCTGAGCCAAAGGCAGACGTTAAACCATCTGAGAAACCTAGGCATCCTAGAATTTTCCTGAAGTAGTTAAAACATTATGTTTATTCCACAAAGCTCCTAATCTGGATTAATAAAAAAAAAAATGTACCAATTACAAATATGAGGATTTACCCAATAAATAGAATATCAAGAAAGACAAAACTTCCCACATTAAAAATATAAGCATACAAAAATCTTTTTTTTTTTTTTTTTTTACATAAATAAAGTTACCTCTTGATAATTACATCCATAACATCTCTGGCACTGAAGTCAAAGGGTTTGTAGCCCTCTCGTTTAAAGGCAAGAACCGCATTAGGCCCTAGCCAAATACTACCATCCATCCTCGGTGTGAAGTGAACCCCTAGGAAAGGAAACCGGCTATCTGGGACCTACGGATTTAACATGGCAGAGTTATCATTTCATATTGCATTCTATTATACATGCAAACACTCAACTAGTAATATAAAACACTTTCTTCCAATGCATTTAGGTTGCATTACTTTTGATCTGTTATTCAGATATTCCTTTCTATATTTACACGCTTCTGCCTAGAAATGCCACACAGGAAACAGTGATGCTATTGACACTAATATATACTGTCCCATGTGTTCCTCTTTCTGGATTAAAAAAGAGAGAGAACTGTCCTAGTTCAGGTTATTCCCCACTCCCCAGCCCCTCACCCAAAACTAGGAATGTATGTGGCTGGCAAGTAAAATCAGCGCTGCCAGGAAAAAACACTCATTTATAGTATAGGCTTTTAGAAAGTGGAAATGCATTAGGTTGAAGCAGATAAAATGTATGTTTTGGCACCATCAAAAACATTAAATAGCTGAATAGTGGCAATTTCATCTGGTTCAACCTAGTAGTTCCAGAAAGAAGACTAAATTCTTCATGTAAATGGCTCTGTCTATACCATGAAACTACAGAGTGGTCACATCCCCTTTTCTGCACCTATCGATCCTGAACTGAGATCTTTCTCAGCTGGGTATCTGGGCATGCTATAAGGGAAAGTTCTCTTATGTGCTCCTTCCACCAGAGAGGGGGAGGAATTGGGTTCTTCATAGTCCCTCCCATGGTACACTCTGCTTTCTAGAGACATGCACTTGTAGGCACTTAATTACAATTTCATTACCATGATTTCAGAATAAAGATTTAGGGATTTAATGACAAGTGAAACAGGTGAAAGGCTTGTCCAAAAAGCACTTCAAAATAGCTCTTAACTTCTGACCCAAGTAAAAGTTTTTGTTTCGTTCCCTTTTTGCCCACAGCCATCTGGAGAAGGGTGAGAAGGCAGAAGCATCATTACCTACCGGATAAATATTTCCTTTTACAAGATAGCATTTTTCTGGCTTCAAGAGCAGGTAATCTCCCCGGAATGGTACAATTTGAGGATCAGGATTACAGCCACTCAACTCTGAAATACGGTCCGAGTAAAGTCCTGCACATGTCACAACATACTGACACTGAACTTCCTCTCCCTAGTGCAAAAGAAAATAAACAGTAGCAAGTAGAGAGGAGAAAAATAGGTCAAGGGGGGGAAAGAGATGATAGAAAGGATAGTAAGGGTACAGAAATTGACTTTTTTCTTTTTATTTCTTTTAAAAGAAGAAATTAAGTACAAGTATCAGCAAAATAAGTTCTTCAGCGTTTAGGTAGCAGCTAGAAACTTACAGTATTAGCATGCAAGAAGATGTCACCTTAAATTTTGTACTTTAGAGGTACAATCATTGACATTTCAAGGATACTTAAGTTAGACAAACACACACCCCTATTTTACTAAGAACTACCATGAAACTTAACTATTCGCTGTATTAAGAAGCAAACTTCATTTAAATGGATGGCTCCCACCAATATGGCCTCCTCTGTATTTCAGACAATTTCTGTCCTATCTATGAGTAACTACCCTGTTACTCTCAGGTTGCTTCCCACTCAATAATCTTGCTCAAATCCAACCCACCAACCAATTTCTCCTTCCTGATCAATATGTACTTTGTAAATTGAGGCTACTTTTGAAATCTCATCCTTTCTTTCTTTTTTTTTTTTTTAAAGATTTTATTTATTTATTTGACAGAGAGAGACAAAGTGAGAGAGGGAACACAAGCAAGGGGGAGTGGGAGAGGGAGAAGCAGGCTTCCCGCGGAGCAGAGAGCCCGATATGGGACTTTTGATCCCAGGACCCTGGGACCATGACCTGAGCCGAAGGCAGTTGCTTAACAACTGAGCCACCCAGGTGCCCTGAAATCTCATCCTTTCAATCCACACTTACTGCGAACACACACTATAGTTAAGGTTTGCTTTAATGATTAGGAGACTACTAATCTTAGGCTGCTATATTTTCCCATAAATTTTATTTTGTGATCATCTGCATATTTTTTGCTCTACCCTGCCAGCATTAGCCAATTTGTCACCCTATTTCCTAAATGATTTCATTTAACCCCAATTCCCTACCACACTCTAATTCCCATCTCTTTAATTCCTACAGATTAAATAAGAAAAATTTAATTAAAAATTAAAACTAGCGCCCCCCCCTTGCTCCAGGTAATTTCCTGTCCCTAGACTTCTTTCTCATAAAACCTGTTTCTGAAGCCTCAGAGCTACCTGTCTTGACATTTTTTCTTTCCAGCCCTTACTGATTCAGCCTTATTCTATCTCTATATCTTATTTTGCCTCGCTACAAAGGTAAGCCTCTTTTCAAGTTATACAACTTACACTTCTGACAAAAGTCAGATAAAACTTTTTCATAGTGAATTCAAATCAGCTAAGCTAAACCATGATAGTTTTAAGATCCTTGAAGTAAAAGAGCTATGTCAACAAAAAAAAAAAAAAAAAAAAAAAAAAAGCCTTCTTCTAAATAGGTTAATAGCTTTCCAGTTCATCTAGAGGTATACCAAAAGTACTTGAAATATTTTTATGCGAAATAAATCTACTAGTTCCTACTTGAAAGGTCAGCTATTCTTTTGTTCTTGGAACATAAAATGTAAATAAGACTTATGATAAATGCAAAAATAAGACAATTTGTAGAATGGTACCACCATGCAATAACCTAGAAATTCTCTTTTAAAAACTCAGGGAACAGTTCCAAAGAAAGAAATGACTAAAAACTTACAGAGATCCCTGAAATAATTTTATGCCAAACATGAAATAATAATTAAATTCAGTAATACATTAATTTCACATCCAAAATCAAAATTTAGGCAAACACTGAATGATGCACTTGTTCAAACAAAAATTTCTTTAAAAAAATAAACTATGCATCTCTCTTGCTATTTCAGAAGTGAAAAAGACTTTTTCCCCGTATATAACATATAAATCTTTAGTTTGCAAATCCTCTCCCCCAAAATTTATTTATTTATTTATTTTTTAAGAGAGGGAGGAGGGGGAGGGGCAGAGGGAAATGAAGAGGGAGAATCTTAAGCAGGCTCCGTGCCCAGCATGGAACCTGACACAGGGCTCGATCTCACAACCTTGAGATCATGACCTGAGCTAATATCAAAAGTTGGACATTTAACCGACTGAGCCACCCAGGCGCCCCCCCAAATTTATTCTTAATTTAACCTCTTTTAACCTCTCATAAAAGCACAGACATTCAACTTGATAAGTTGACTCAAAATTTTTAATTATTAAAAAAATGTTTGGGCACCTGGGTGGCTCAGTCAGATGAGTGTCTGCCTTCCGCTCAAGTCATGATCCCAGGGTCCTGGGATCAAGTCCCACGTTGGGCTCCCTGCTCAGTGGGGAGTCTGTTTCTCCCTCTGCCTGTCACTCCCCCCTGTTCATGATCTCTCTCTCTCTCTCTCACACTCTCTCTCTCAAATAAATAAAATCTTTTTAAAAAGTAAATAAAAATAAAAATGTTTAATTATATTTATACTAAAGGTAAATGCCAAAATAAAAGGCAACAGCTATAGCAACTGTGGGTGAAATACATATTCACTGGTATCCCAGAGGCCCCTGCATATCTTCTTTCACATGATGCCATACTCTAGTGAAAATGGCCCTTCCGATGAGGGCGGGAGCAGAAATAGACTTTTAATCCTTCTTTGAATGGAGATCCTGGATGCTCTGTCAGTCACTTGGGCCACATGACCCAGTAGATCTGATGGTAATCAGGGTGTCTGTGGCAGACAGTGATGTTTTATGGAGACTTTGGTAGGTCCCTATAGGCAAATCACAACACAGAACTTTAGGATTTTGGAGGAAAGTTATACCATCTGCAGATAACTGTTTTCCTTTTGAGAAAGTGCTTCTGGCTTTGACTCAACACTTGACCACAGATCACTAAGTTACCATGTGAACTATACATTATTAACTGTATGTTGTCTGACTCACCAAGCCACAAAATTGGGTGTGTACAGCAGTACTCTGTCATCAAGGGGTAGCAGAATATACAAGATCAGGGAGGTACAGGTCCTGCAGGCATACATAAGTTACAGAGGCAGGTGGCTCAAATTCCTATGGCCCCTAGTCCTGCTAAATTACCTCCTCCTTTTCAAGTTGCCCTTGTGGCCCTATGGGAAGGTCTCCATGATCAGTTGACCAAGGAAGGAAAAACACAGGCCTGGTTTACACATGGTTCTACACAACATTCTCACACTTGAAACTGAACAGCTATAAACCAGAGAGCCCCACTCAGGAGTGACCCTGAAGGACTGTGGTACAGGGAAATCTTCCCAGTGGGCAGAACTTTGAACACCATACCTGTTGTTTACCTCACCTAGAAGGAAACATGGATAGAAGTACAGATCTATACTGCTTCATGTGCAATAACTAATGCTATGGCTGGTTGGTTAGGAAAAGGAGCTCTGGAAAAAAGGTATGCAAATGGACCTCTCCAAACAGGCTCAGTGAGTAAAGATATTTGAGTTCCATGTGAATGCTCACTCAGACTAACCATGGCAGATGAAGATTTTGATAATCAGTAGACAGGATGACCTGATCTATGTATGTTAATTAGCCTCTTTCCCCAGGCACCCCTGTCCTTACTCAATGGCTCCCTGAACTAAATGGTTAGAGCAACAAGGATGGGGGTAATGCATGCGTTCAGCAACATGGACTTACTTCCCAAGGCTGATCTGCCTATAGCCACTGCTGAATGCTCAATCTGCCAACAGCAGAAATCAACAGAGCTACTGATATGGTCCCTGGCCCACTTCAATCAAAAAAAAAAAAAAAAGAAAAAAAGAAAGAAAGAAAAACCAGCATTTAGTCCTCACTGAAATAGATACTTGCTCTGGATATAGATCTGTCTTCCCTGCTTACAATGCTTCTGAGGAAACCACCATCTGTGAACCTACAGGATGTCTTATTCACCATTATGGTATTTTGCCCAGAAGCATTACTTCTGATCAGTGAGCTTATTTTACAACAAATGAAGTATAACAGTAAGTTCATTCTTGTGGAATTCACTGATCTGACCATTTTCTCCATCGTCCTGAAGCTGCTAGGTGACAGAAAGTAGAATGGGTTTTTGAAGATTCAAAACAGAACTAGCTGGCTGGCAACACCTTGCAGGGCTGGGGCAATGTCTTTCAGGATGCTCTATATGATTAATATATGGTGTTGCTTCACCCAGAGCCAGGATTCACAGGTTTAGAAATCAAGAGGTAGAAATGGGAGAGATGGGAGTAGCTCCTTACTACTACAATAATTCACTAGTGAAATTTTTGCTTTCTATCGCCACAATTTTGGGCTCTGATGTTTAGAAGTCTTGATTCCCAAGGGAGAAATGCTTCATTAGAGAATAAAAAATGGTTCCATTATCCTCTAAGTTGATACTGCCATACCAGACCACTTTGGGTTCCTTGTATCAGCGAATCAACAGGCAGAAAGGATTACTGTACTGAAGGGGGAAACTGGAAATGAGTCTCAAGGAGAATTAGAGTTGCTACCACACAGAGAGTGCTAGGGATGATAAAGAGAAATATGTCCCGAATATAGATCTCCTGGGGGTCTCTCTTAGTATTTCTACATACTGATATAAAAGTTAATGGAAACCACCACAACCCAAAATAGGCAGAGCTACTAAAGGCACAGACACTTCAGGAATGAAAGTTTGAGTTCCCCCACCAAACCGGAACATGACTAGCTGAGATGCTTGCCAAGAGCAAAGGAGCTATGAAATATGTAGTAGAAGGAGGAAATTATAAATATCAGCCATAACCATGTGATCATTGAGGGAAATGAAGAATGTAGTGGTTATGAGTATTTCTTCCTGACTTTGAAATAAATATATTTGACTATATATTACCCAATTCTTTCTTTATCCTCATTGTTACGGATTGAATTGTGTCCGTAATTCCACAAGTGCATATATTGAAGTCCCGGCTCTTAAGGTGACCGTATTTGGAGATAGAGCCTTTGGGGAGGTAGTTAAGATTATATGAGGTCGCTTAATCTGTCTGGTATGACTGGTGTGCTTATAAGAGTAAGATAATTGGGGCGCCTGGGTGGCTCAGTCGTTAAGCGTCTGCCTTCGGCTCAGGTCATGATCCCAGGGTCCTGGGATCGAGCCCCGCATCGGGCTCCCTG